ATAATTTATCTTGTTAAGAATTACAAAAATGTTGAGGAATAGTGTTTATTGGAGATATTTGATGTTTAGGTTAATATTATGGCTGCATTTAAAATTTCTTGCAAGATCTCTATGCGACTGATATTTGCAAACGATAGATTTTCCTTTATATTTATCTTTAAATCTTTTCTTTTTTCTACTTCCAGCTTCTTTTTTCAAAGATTAAGTCTGATCATAATTGGAAATAAGGATCAAAAAACATCAGTCAATTTTGAAATGTCAACTTACGACAACGATTTTAAAAAGAAACATCTAAATATTATTGATTTTATACTTGCTTACTTATTTTAATCTAATAACAATGATCACCAATACTTATTACCATTACAATCAAACAACATCACTTAAGTTTCTGTGTGCAAAAAAATTTTAAAGTAAATTTTTAAAATAAATTTGCGCACTCGCAAAAAAAAAAACTTAAATAGTTCTTAAATAATTCAAAATATGATTTCTGCATACAAAATAAACAAAGTTAATTACGTGATACTAAAAAAGGGGTTTTAGTTAAAAACAAATTTTTTGATAAATGGGGGCCTTAAATTTGTTTTTGCTTTTTTTATAGTTTTGGTCAATTTTAAATTACTTTATTGTTATTTTAGATTTATAATCAGAGTAAATTTTTTAAACTCTAATTAAAGTAAAATTTAAACCTTTTTTAGAATTTTTTATATATGTATATATAATTATATACAAATGTAACCTTCAGAATTAGAAAAAATGAGGTTGGCAATAATTTGCCGACCTCAATCTTTTAGAGGCTGGCATAAGGTCTGCAAAAAAAATTGATACAAAGGTCATACCATAAAACATAGAAACTAGGTCGGCAATACTTGCCGACCTCAAACACTTTTAGGTCGGCATTGCTGAATGCTGACCCTAATTCCGAGGGTTGCAAATGTATATACAAATAATTTTATATATGTATATATAATTATATATAAATGTATATACAAATTTTTTTTTTTTAATTATTCACCTCCCCAAGGCCCGAGGGGGCCACTACAGTCGAGGAGGCTACTAATTTATTTTTTTATTTTTTTTTGTAAATCGTGGTACAACCCTCTTTCAACTCTTTAACCCCGAAACACGGACCTTGACAAGCAAGGCCGCTGCGCGGAGAAATTAAGAGTCGAACTCCTAACCTCTCGCTTACAAAGCGAGCGCTCTTACCACTACACCACTACCGCATAAATAATATTTTTTTTCAAATTTGATGCACAAAACAATAATTATTATTATTTTAATTATTATATTTATTTTTTTTAATATCAAAACACAATATAAACATCTGCACCTTAAATTCTTTTTATCAAAAAAATTTGACTGATTTTAGAGAATTTATCAAAAAAATTTGAGTTAGCTAGATTATTTTTTAGACTTTCTACTGTATTATAAATAAAACATTTCACGCATGGTTTTAGTAATTTCAATAGCGTTGCACTTCCATCTATAAAACTTCCATGGTTTACCAGAATTGTCATTCATTTTTAAATAATTCTGAAGAAATCGATTAATGAGTTTAAAGGAAGAGTATACATCAGTACGTCTGAGATGTTTGAGATGTTATATATGAGATGTTATATATATATATATATATATATATATATATATATATATATATATATATATATATATATATATATATATATATATATATATATATATATATATATATATATATATATATATATATATATATATATATATATATATATATATATAACATCTATATGTATAAATAGGTACAAGGTCCATAGATAAAAATAAATAAAATAATAGTCAATAAAAAGAACAGATACAGTCATCTAAAATTATCCATCATTTGGACAGTCCTAATATTCTGTTAATTAAACCGAAAGTAAGGTTTCTTTTGGCACACTCAACAAGCTGTTTCTTTAAATTGATCCTATAGTTAAATAAAATAGTCTCAAAAGTTGGGAGCCTTAACTCTAAAAACATCTGAGTCAGACTGCAATATTTTCTATATCCAAAAAACATTTTTGAACATTTGTTATAGCAATATTGTAGGTGTGCAAATGTTCTTGTGCTAAAACTGTTCCATAGAGAAGCATTATATATACATACACAATGTGATTGGAATAGTCTTACTTTGACTAAGCTTAAACAACTGTAAAAGCGCCTTGTTAGCATATTTGTGCAAGTATATAGATTTTTTATCTCTTTTTTTATATTAGTATCATCTGCTAGATCATTTCTCACAATATGACCAAGATATTTAAAGCTGTCAGCAAATTCCAGATTGCAACCTGCTACACTCAATTTTGGAAATAACAACGACACAATTTTTGATTTTTGCTTAGGGTTAAAAATCATACAAACTGTCTTCTTTGTGTTAAAAGACATATTAATTAGTAAGGCTAATCCCTAAAAAATCCCTCCTATATTGCAACCAATACGCATATTTGAAATTTTAAATACAAGATTACTAATGTAAAACTTAAATAGTAACGATGATAAAACACCATCTTGTCGCACACCATTTCCTATACTAAAAGCAGGAGATTTAGCTTTCTGCCAACTAATACACATTTCCTGGTTGCTGTACCAGAATGCAAGCAGACTTACAATATTTTTTGATATTCCTTAGTCTAATAGGTTACAGAACAGAAGCCAGTAATCAACGTTACCAAATGCTTTATTAAAATCTATAAACGATGAAAACATGTGAGTACCTCTAAATGTGTATTAATTAATACCTTTCTTTAAATAATTTGTGCATAAAGTTGTAGAATTCTGTTTAAAACCAAACTGATAATCATCTAAATTATCTGGTATATTTATTTTTTGTAACAAAATAGTTTCAATTATTTTGGATATAGCTGGAGATATCAATTAGGTTGTTATAGTTCACATCAATTAGGTTGGCCACTTTGCACTTCACCAAAGGAATAATCGAAGATTCACAGAACTTGGATGGTAAATATCCATGTCTTAAACAGAGATTAAAAAAAATACTAAGTAGAAGATGTAATCTTTTTCCACCATATATAAAAGCTTCCATACATATACCATCAGGACCAGCTGTTTTTCCTGATTTTTGATTTTTTAATGATGCAATAACATCATTGAAATTTATGCTAATATCTAAATTACCTTGTTTAAGTAGCTGGATTTTCTCAGCAAAATGGTCTTTGTACTCTGTATTTTTTATAGAATTATATATTGTTTGATCTCTCCACATATAAGCTATATCATTGTCTCCCGGGGCTCCTCCCACACTAGCAACGTAACTCACCGCTTTTTTGTTAGTGATACAATTTATACTGCTCCAAAACTTTTTTGGATCTGTGTTATAAAAATTTTCCACACACTTATATTACACGCTTTTATTTGCTCACTATGTCTCTAACAATGTCTCATAGCTAGTTTAAAGGTGGCACAAGTACTCTTCGTTTTCTTAATAAGATCACCATGTTTTAGCTTCCCATGCAAAATCCATAGTTTAAATGCATCTCTAGCAATATCATGCTTGTCTTTAACAAAATTGTTCCAACCAAGAGTGTTAAACTCAGAATTTATATTGTTGCCCTTGCTGTGTGGTATAGTGTCAGCCACAACAGATTGAATACAATTCATGAGGTCACTATAAAATAAGTCTATATATACATCAGCCCTATAGGTTACTCCTATGTCATCAGTAAACAAGTTAAATGGTACATATATAGATTGTAATAAGAGGTCTAACCTTTTCTCATAAAGGGATAATGACTTTTCATTACAAGTCTGCAATTTAGTATTACTACTAGACAATTTCAGATAAGGATGTTATTTTTTATTTTGGTTGTATTTTCCAATGAGCAAGAAAAAGAGAACGTTATTGGTTTATGACCTGATGCTATAATATCTGTTAGAACTGAAATATCTATTATCAGATTATCAATTGTTAGGCTGCGCAGAACGTGATCCAACCAAGAGACATGATTTCCGTCATATATATATATATATATATATATATATATATATATATATATATATATATATATATATATATATATATATATATATATATATATATATATATATATATATATATATATATATATATATATATATATATATATATATATATATATATATATATATATAATAATGTATACTTATTAGTGCTTACATATATCTTCGCGAGAGTGCTTGATGAATTAAAGTAAATTAAAATGATTTAAATTAAAACAGAGCTGTATTTACATATATTATTTATAAATAAAACTGCATATTTTTCACAAATATATTTACACCTGATGATTGCATTTAGCATGAAACTTATAGTTGTGAAAAATATGCAGTTTTATTTATAAATAATATATGCATTTAAATAATTTTTATTGCAGTTTAAAATTAAATTTAATTACAACGCAATACTTTAAAATACTTTCAAAATAGTTAATTAGTTTTTAAGCTCCTGTAACAAATAAGATCTTAATAATTTCAACACATAAAAAGGAAAAGGGTTTTAAAGTATTTGTTAATTTTTTTTCTATATTTGTCAATACGTTGTTGTTGTAAAAAATAGCGCATATTTTTTTAATAAAATAGTCGCTCAATTCAAGAAAAAAACCTGACGTATATTTCAGCATGTTCTTTATCTGAAGGTACAAAAGTGAATGTTATCAATAGTTTACAATATTACTTTTATATACGTAAATTATTTCTAATCTACACTAAGCCTATAATAAAAAATGACTAGAATATTCTAGAAATGCTAAAATTTTTAAAAAAAATAGCAATGAGCAACTCAAAAAGTCGGCAGGCAACTAAAATAAACAAACTGGCTACTTTCAGTCGCCATTAAGGTGGTTGACCAAAAGTCTGAGTGTACACTTCTGTATATATATGTGTGTGTGTGTATATATATATATATATATATATATATATATATATATATATATATATATATATATATATATATATATATATATATATAGTAAATATACAAATGCTACCTCCTCCATTTTTTTGGCACAAATATGGAAACCTCCAAATACTACCCAATCCAACTGCTAAACTGATGGATGCTAGTATAAATTCCACTTTGTTTCCCCATGCATCTCTTGACTCTGCTGAAGCAATCAACTCAGTTTCACTTTTACTTGTAGAAATATCAGTTTTTGACTCTTGAATATCTTCATTTTCAACTAAAAAAAAAATCTTTTAAATATAAACAATCTAAAATAACAAAAAAAAACCAGAAAATATCAAGTTGGTAGTGAATCAAGAAGATTTTAAACTCATTATTTTTTCCTTTTAGTGTAATGTGTATAATTACAACAAATATTCAAAAACATTCTAATTATATATATAAAACCAATTAATTTAAACTAACAAAGAACTGACCAAGAAAATTGAAATTTACACTAATATTATATATATACACACACCATTAATGTTAATGTAATTATGGCAAACTGCGCTTAACTTGCAACTTGTTATTATAAAGACAAATATAAATAAAAATGTTGCAGAAACAGAACAAAATGTTGTATTTTTTGCATCATCAGCCTTCAATTTCTAGCACAAAATTACGACTGTACATTAAATGTCTTAAGTCTAAAAGTTGCTAAGAGACACAAAACAATGAATTAAACAAAATTAATGAGAACTTTTTTTTTAACAAAGCTTTTGTCTGATAACTGATGATGCAGACAAAAAAAAAGTTTAAAAAGTTAATGAGTTTTAATTAACTAAACCACTATTTTTAATTTATCTTTTATACAAATTATAATATTCGCTTGATTTGCTTAGATTTGCTTGAAGTTCAAAATACACTTGAAGTATAAATAGTTGTTATGTACTGATTGCATTGTTCATAATGAAAAAGAACAACAAAAAGCCGGTACTTATGCCAATGCTAATTGTCTAGCCAATTAATAAATTATTCAAAACATATAGGCAACATTGGAACAATCTACACAAAGATTAAGATCAGATTTTATAATTCTTTTTATGACATTATGTTGGTTATAGGTTGGTTTTAGTCACTAAAACCAACCTATAACCACAAAATCTTAATGACCCACACTTGGGATAAATTTTGACAGCAGCAAATTTTTATTAAAATAAATCTAGGATTGTGTTTAAAGATTAACTAGAAATTCAATCATAATTTTTTGATTTTTTTAATGTCAATGATTAATCAGTACATAACTACTAACAAGTAGTTATCCCTTTTGTGCAGTAGAGTATAATATAATAGAATTAATCAAGCTTAAATAAAAAGATTAATAAAAAAAGTGATAAATTCTATATATATATATATATATATATATATATATATATATATATATATATATATATATATATATATATATATATATATATATAATACATACATTATACATATAATTATTATAAATTATTTATTAATATATATATATAATAATACATATATATATATATATATATATATATATATATATATATATATATATATATATATATATATATATATATATATATATATATATATATATATATATATATATTATACATACATTATACATATAACTATTATAAATTATTTATTAATAATAATTAATTATTATTACAAAAAACAGACAAACAAAAAAATGATTAAATAAAAAATATTCATGTGAATATAAGTAGTTATATAAATATTATTAATAAAAATAGCCATTTGTCATCAGTTGACATAATGTGAACTGTATTAATTAAAGTGGTTTCCTGAGTAGTTAAAAATCTCGGCCTTGTCGTTGACAGGTACATTGACTGTACAATGTTTACTTTTGTTGCATACCATACAATTAAAAGTTCGACTACCTTCGTAGCAGAGGTATGAACTTGTAGCAGAGTGGTGAACTTTAATTTTGTATCTGTTGTCCTGTTTTTTCCAGAGATATCATTTTGGTACTGAACCGGTAAAAGCTGAACATGGTAAAATTAAGACTTTACATTTTATACCCTGATAAAAACAAATTATAATGTTATACATTATACTTTAATATCATATATAATTTATGAGCAAAAATTTTATAAATTATAAAACCTTTTAAAGATTGGTAGCTATGAGGAAAAAATTTTAAAAATAAAAAATTTAATTAATTACTTTGTTTTAAAATGAAAAAAATATATATATTAAAACAATATATTTATTGATATCAAATAAAAATGAATAAAAAGTCATCAAATTAGGAGATTTTTAAAAATTACATATCGAGTGTTTGTATATCTGCCATCTTTACTTACCATAGTGCAACCATTAACAAAAAAAGAAAAAGTATCAGCTCTCAATCTACCAATGCTCTTAATATACAATAATTTGCAGCTCTCAATGTAAAATGATTTGCAGCTTCAAATCATAATTAAATTGATAATTTCTAATTAAATTTAACTTTTCAATAAGTGATTGTTCTAGCTACAAAATCTTACTTTGATCATAAAAAAACATTTAACAAATGTTTATAAAAAACCAATCTATTAAAAAATATTTTTTTAATAAATGTGTTTTATAACACTTTTAGTCCATAGTCTCATATTTTAAACAACATTTATTAGTTGTGTCTTTTTATAATCTTTGCATGACATTTAAAATTTACCTTTTATGAAATTTTATTATTACTTCCTAAAAAGTTCAATTTTCATGATTTTTATTAAAACATGATTTTTTAAAATAAAACAGAAAACTAATAATAAACTTCAACAATATTTTAGTAGATTATGTTGATGTAATAATCATGTTTTGCTCGCTTTTGCTATTTTCTGATTGAAAAATGAGAGGAAAAAAAATTACAGTTTGATGTGTTTATATATATATATATATATATATATATATATATATATATATATATATATATATATATATATATATATATATATATATATATATATATATATATATATATATATATATATATATATATATATATATATATATATATATAAATTATGTTAGTATATTCAACAAAATATAATTCTTCCTGATGGAGTAACAAGCTGTTGAAAAAAACTGGATAAGTATTTTTACTAATTTATTATTGCTCTGTTCTTTAAGAACATTGAGCACTCTATTTGTAGAATACACTAACATAATTTGCATATATATATATATATATATATATATATATATATATATATATATATATATATATATATATATATATATATATATATATATATATATATATATATATATATATATATATATATATATGTGTGTGTGTGTGTGTGTATATGCAAATTATGTTAGTGTATTCTACAAATAGAGTGCTCAATGTTCTTAAAGAACAGAGCAATAATAAATTAGTAAAAATAATAAATAGTGTTGATAAACAAATAGCAATTGTTGTTCAAGTCATCACAGTATAACACACATAATTTTAAACATTCTTTACATACACCTTGTCAATATATATATATATAACCAATTAAATAACCCTGATGCAGACACTGGAGGAAGTAATCATTTGAACACAAGTGCTAACACACTGCTGGTAAAAAAAATGAATCAAGACCTTCAAAAAGGTTTAAAAACAGAAAATATCGATTATTTAACATGTTGGTATACAAATGCGACCTCTTTAAATAATAAATTTGACGAATTCATTAATGATATATCCAGATCTAAGGCTCAAGTTATATTTGCTTGTGAGACTTGGTGGTCAGCAATGTCTACTACTAATATTCCTGGTTATAATCTGTTTAGAAAAGATCGTCAATTTAGTCGTGGTGGTGGTGTATGTATTTATATACAAGAGAATATTAAATCTTATGAAATAAATGAAAAATATCTAATAAATGAAAATATTGAGCAAGTATGGTGTTTGATTAAAATTGGCAAAGAGCAAATCTTATGTGGTTGTATGTACCGGACAGGTCTTAGTAATAGTGAAAAGTGTATTGACATTATAAAATCATTAAAACAAGCATATACTCAAACAAAATAACAAATGCTCTGGTATTTTAATATGTGGTGACTTTAACTATGCAAACATCAAGTGGAACGATGAAAGTTTTAGTGAAATTATAAATGACAGTGACCCAACAGCAAGTATGTTTATTGAGTCGTTACATGACTGTTACCTGCACCAAAATGTTATCAGTCCTAGTTTTCAAGTAAAGTTTGGTATTGATACTAACATTTTAGACCTCATTTTGACTGATAATAGCAACAGAGTTTATTTTCTTGAATATTTTCCACCGTTAGGTGGTATCGATCATGGTCATCATATTTTGAAATTTCGATTTGGTTATGAAAATAAACCTAATTTATTAATATTACTACAAATGAGGAAGAAAAAATTTTTGTGGAAAAATGGAAACTATAAAGCAGATTTTGTATTTTAATAACATAAACTGGATAAATGAATTTGAAGGACTAAGTGTTAATGAATGTTACAAAAAATGGCTAAGAAAATATGAAATAGGATGTGAAAAATATATCCCAACGCTAAATTTAGATAAAAACTCTTTTCAACTAAAAAATAACTCACTATGGATGACAAGTGAACTTAAAAGGATGTGTAAAGAAAAGAAAAAATGTTGGTTTAGAAACAGAAATTCAGGTTTTAAAAGTCTTTTAGAAGTCAATAAGTATGAAAAATTAAATAAAGATATAAAAAAAACTTGTCAAGAAAAGTATTCCCAATTTTGAAAAAAACTTGGCACTTAATTCAAAAAGCAATCCTAAAAGTGTCTATGCTTATATAAACAACAAAACAAGATTTAAAGACTCGATCAAAGCCATAAAGCTACATAATGGTATTATAACTACTGATAATCAAGAGTTAGTAAACACTCTTAATGAATTCTTTGCTTCTGTGTTTATACAAGATGACTCACCAGAAGAAGTTTTAGACGACAATCTTTTAACAAAATGTTCTGATCCAGATTTTAGTATTTCTATTATTCAGAAACATTTGAGTAATTTAAACATGTACAAATCAGTAGGTCCAGATAATGTTCACCCAAAAGTTTTAAAGGAATGTTCAGAATCTTTGTCAAGTTCTTTAGCAATAATATTTGTTAAATCGTTTATTACAGGATCTATTCCAAAGTTATGGTCATGTACAAACGTTGTTCCGTTATTCAAAAAAGGAAATAAACTAGATCCAACAAATTATAGACCGGTTTCATTAACATCAATTGTTGGTAAAGTTATGGAGAGAATTATTAAAGATCA